AGTCGCACCGCAGGGCGTCTGTCCCCCTTGTCTGGGTCTTCAGTGAAGTCGCACCGCAGGGCCTCTGTCCCCCTTGTCTGGGTCTTCAGTGAAGTCACACCGCAGGGCCTCTGTCCCCCTTGTCTGGGTCTTCAGTGAAGTCACACCGCAGGGCCTCTGTCCCCCTTGTCTGGGTCTTCAGTGCGTTGCAGTCGCTCCTAGGGGCCCTGCCAGTGACTGGATCGGCTTCTTTCCCGGTTAAACGGTTCCGTGGTCTCCACGCATCACTGGCTGTGTTGCCCCACCACTAAACCAGCCTTGAAAAGCCCATGTGATCTTTTGGTAACACCGGGTCACAGGGATTATTTTAATGGCTCACATAAGCAGTCCTGTTGCTGGCTCTGGTTCAAGCCCCGTCTTGTGATCTGGATGTTTCTTTTTGAGATTCCATCCAGTTAAAATTAGAACACTTATTTTAAGAGACGTATGCAAGCTGAGACAAATCCCCACTACTGGGCCAGAATGAATGGCCCTCGGTAGCTTGGAGACCATTGTGGCATGTACCCGCCTTATTTATGTATGTACGGCTGGCCCGTAATCCGACCCACGCGGGAGTGAGTCAGTGATTCTCCTGGTTAGTCTTACTCCTTTACTCTGTGCTCGGGTCAGGTGAACTTTGGTTTCTGACGTCAACATTTCCCCTCCTTATTCAGCCGATGACGACTGTGCTTGTGGCCCAGGGACATCAGTTTTAACCGATCGAAAGTTGTTGCCTGTTGGGGGGGGGGGGCCCTAGAGAAAAGATCCCAGGTTAGGTTTCTGTAAGGTATACCCCCTGAATTGCACGAAGGCTAAAAAAGTTTAGGTAAAAAAAAGCCCCTTTTACTTAATGACTTTTGCCCTTGCGTATGCATTTTGATATAACTATTTTGGTTTTTCACACCTACCTGGAGGCTAAATTGAAATGAGAAAAAGTTCTTTTCAAGAGGCCATCCATCGGCAGAGAGCAAGTTGGGGACATAAAAAGAATCCATTGCCGTGCGCAGCTAGATGAACGGAAACGTCGTCATCGTCGCGTGCAGTAGGGTCAGCTCCCACTCAGAGCAGTCCTGTGCGCAGCCGAATGCAGCCGCGTCCACTCCTGCCTCACCTCGCAGTTGTGAAGTCTGAGCCCATGGTTGCAGCTCCGCTGTCAGTCCATCTTGTGGAGCGTGGGCCTCTTTGTCTGTCCCTCTATTTTGCCAAACAGGACGTCCTTTTCCAGGGTCTGGGCTCTCGACAACATGCCTGCGTACATGAGGCAAACGCCTCGCCAGCTTCGCTGCTGAGAGCATTCCAACTGTACTTCTTCCAGACAGATTGGTGGTCCTTTGGGCAGAACAGGGTAGGTCCAGTATTGTTTGCAGCACCATAATGCAGTTACATCAATCTTTCTTCCATCTTCCATGTTCAATGTCTAACTTTTCACATGTGTCAAGGCGCCTGGAAATGCCATGGCTTGGGCCAGGCATACCTAATCCTTAAAGTAACATCCTTGTTTTTCAACACTCTAAGGAGGTCGAATACACCAGATTTACCCAGTGAAAGGTGTCGTTTGATCTCCTGACTGCTGCTCCCACGAGCATTCCCTCACCGGCATCCAG